AAAAAATAAGAAATATTTCCATAGCATGGTTCCAGCCTGAGAACCTTAGCATAATAATCTAAAAACAAAGAAATGAAATAAACCAGAAGGAAGCCAAGTTTTGCACAGAGTTGCTAAAATAATTATATTGCTGTTATATTGCTGTACTATGCGACATTGAAATAATTTCCTCCCTCCATCCGCATTAAACAACAAAGCAGATTTCACCACCTGTAAGAAAGACTCAGAAGGTACTTTTAAGTTATGGTGTCATAATTAAAAGTTGAAACTTTTTTCTTACTTCACACATCTGTAGCTGAAATAGTCGCCTTTCCTCACACATCTGTAGCTGAAATAGCCGCCTTTCCTTCTCCATTTCCTCTGCTATCTCAGCTCCTGTTATTTCAGTTCTTATCATCCCATGCTGTTTTGCATGTTCTCTTTTTTCCTTTTCAATTTTTGTACTGAAATTTTAATTAGAAAACATTTTAGAGAATTCCTTCTACTATCATGTGATCTAGTATTATTTACAGGAAAAAATATCAAGAATCACAGAATGTTAGGAATTGGAAGGAACCTCAAAGGATCATCTAGTCCAATCCCCCTGCCTGAGCAGGACCACCTAGATCAGATCACACAAGAACGCGTCCAGGTGGGTTTTGAACATCTCCCGAGAAGGAGACTCCACAACCTCTCTGGGCAGCCTGTTCCAGTGTTCTGTTACCCTTAATGGGAAGAAGTTCTTCCTCATGTTTAAGTGGAACCTCCTATGTTCCAGCTTATATCCATTTCCTCTTGTCCTATCATTGGATGCCAGTGAGAAGAGCCTGGCTCCATCCTCATGACAGTCACCCTTTATATATGTATAAACATTAATGAGGTCCCCCCTCAGTCTCCTCCAAGCTAGAGACCCAGCTCCCTCAGCCTTTCCTCATAAGGGCGATGCTCCACACTCTTAATCATCTTTGTGGCCCTGCACTGGACTCTCTCAAGCAGTTCCTTGTTGAAATATTGAATAAGCCATTCTGAAGATCAGTTCCTTTATGATACCAAATGCTACATATATTTTTTTAAGTGTCCAGAAGTAATGGAGTCATGAAGCTGCCTTTCCTTCCTTTCAACCTTTAACTCTTTTCTCCAGTTTGTGTGCTACTTGGCGGGGGGCAGCGAGAAATCTCATTGTTTCTCTATGATGTGCTCCACAGCCTTCATCTCTACATACTGCAGCGTACAGCATACATATAAGAAACTTCCAACTTGGCAGGAAAACAGCAGAATATCTCAATCAAATATGTTTCAAGCTTGTAAGGCAGGGATTAAGAACAATAAGGCAGCACATGAAGTTTAACGCCCACACTAACTGGCATGACTTCCAGTCACTACATTTTCAAAGAAGGCCAGCACTGCAATTCTGCAACAGAGAAATGCAAATACGGAACTACGAGGTCGTCCTGAGACTTTCGAGCTTTACCGTGTGGCTGTCCCTTACGTATCTACTCTGCAGGCCAACTGGATACTCCATTTGTAAGTAAACTTAGATTTCTAATACAGAGCAGAAATATCTAAACAATTTTCTGATTTTTTAAAAAAATAAAATATATAAAAAATAAAATAAAAATATCTTTCCTCTCTAGCAGCATTTTGAGAAAATAAACACTGAAGCTTTATTTCTGTAAAACAGGTGACAACGTACTGTGCGTTTATTAGACTGGTGCTCCTTGCCAGGGGAAAAAAAAAACTTAAAAAGGATTAATTGATTTGAGTTTGAAATCTGCTTTTCTCCAACTATGAACGGCATAACATTTGCACATAGAACAAAGCACTTTTCAGCACTGCGTCTCTAAACTTGACTTGATATTTGGCCTTGAACAAATTCTGGGAAATGGGATTGTCTGAGAATCTAAGGGACATCTCCTTCTTGGTCTTAATAAGCCCAACTGAAATCTGCTCACAAGACGGGGGGTGCGGGAAGAGTTACAAGACAACAGAACTTTTGTGCAAACTTTCCAAATTCAAAATAGAATCTCACAGATGATTCCATGTATTGAGTCAGTATGAGATACCTTGGTCTCCCAAGTTCTGTTTAATGGCATTTGGTATAAATACGCCTGCAAAGACATCCCTGATTTTACATACAGCAATTTGAGAGGCGGAATTTTTTTTTTGTTTAAAACAATTTGCTGTCTATAGAAGACTATTAAATATTTTTGCAAGATATGTAATATCTGTATGAACAAATGAAGGAACAAAAAAACAATTCTGCATGTAAATATGAATGCTCAACTGAGTAAGATGTTGCAATCTTGGGACAGGAATCTCCTTTTTGCCTTACATTAGTAAGAACTTCATTTCCAGCTCAGTTGTGCACAGGATTTCATATTGTAATGAATTTTGAAGGCAAAAGTTACTATATGCAGGTAAGACAATCATGCTGATAATAAATGTTTCAGCAGCTCTTAGTGGCCTGAATTTTTCTTTCATTGCTTTTTTCCCCTCCTGGTTAGACATAAATGAAACAAAGATAATAATAGGATTAAAAAGGGGAATAAATGAAAGGATACAAAAAATGAATTAACTCCTGAGAGCTCTTGAATTCTGACAAAGCAACTGCCCATGACTTCTTTGAGAGCGTCCTGTACCATTCCACTAACATTTCTGAAGCTGTGACACCACTTGTCTCCAACCTTCTATTTTCATAAATCGTTCTTTACCCACAGAAGGCAGGTATTAGAGCAAGAAGATATTTCTAAAACCACTGATACTTTAGATGTCACACCAACTGCACTAAAATGCTTGCCTCTTAAAAAACAGAGTTCTGCAATACAGGACAACATAAAAATCTCATCATTTTTAGTATCAATAGATTTTATACATATGGTTATAAGAATATAAATGCCATCTGAAATCCCCACAACTCACTGTACAATGTTTGGTATCTAAGCATTAGTATCTTTCTCACATTAAAGAACCACTGGGCAGTCATTTAACTACTTCTCAGAGAACAAAAATATTTTACTTCTTTTAGTGCAGAAGACATCCACAGAAGAGATGCCTTGCTCATATTCACATTTAAATCCACAGATAATAGGCACAGTACCTAGTTTGGGACTAGGAGGGGAAAAAAACCACAAAACACAAAAAACCACAACCAACAAAAAATAAATCCCCCCAAACCCAGAGAAAAGTACTTACAATTTGGTTTCATAATCCTTCCAGGCTTTGTCAAAAGGCTTTTTGAGGTCCTTAGGAAACAGAAGATTTGCTTAGAACATTTTTAAAACTTTATCTTTATAGTTAAAATACCAAGTCATAAATAGTAACAAATAAATACTATTTTCATTTAAACTTTTCAAATAGCAGCTGGAAAAAGATGGTATTTTTCAATCTTGTAAATGATTGCTTTCCTGTGCACCTTAAGACAGGAATTTATCCTGAAATTCTAAAGAAGCATCATAGTTATGCCAATGTTGAGGTTTTTTTCTTTGGACTACATACAGAAATATTAATGGATACCAACATAAGAAATAATCTCATGAGTGAATGGAAAACAGTCACACGACAGCTGAACCTGAAAACATCTCCCTAAATAAAAAGCTGTTTTTCAACACTTACCCCCTTAACACCTTTTAAGTCTCCTTTTAAGAGGGAATCCAAGGTGAAAATAACATTGTGGCTTAAACCCTGGAGCTAAAAAGAAAAACATCACACTGTTATAATTCAAAAAGATTTATTATGATCTTATCAAACTACTGTCAAGAAGTCTTTGAACTTCATTAATGAAGTTGCAATCACCTCAAAATTTCTAAATTAATAGTAAATTCAAGTCTGGGAGGAATTAATAACCATTCACTTGCATCAGACATAGAAGCATTATAATTAAACTTTAGTTATACAGGGTTATCTAAAACCAGAATTTTAAAAATCGCATTTAAGAAAAGTTCTGAAAGCAAGTCAAGGTAATCTCCAGCCTCTCCAAGCAAACGTGAATATTGCTTAATTATTTAGGAAGCAAATTTGGTTTGGAACAAATGTTTCTTAGAGCCTCCTGAGTAAGAAGCAAGGACCTGTGTGCTACAGGCAGATAACACGCACGGGACGTGTTAATTCAACCATGAACAAAAGGAGCAAAAAAAGTCACCAGCTGTTTGATTATTCCCAACTATTCGGGAAGAGTGTTCCTTTCTTTGTCTAGCGTGGAAATGTGACATCTGCTTAAACTCTTGAGAGTTTAACTTTTATCCCGTTATGTCGATGCCTGTTTGATTATGTATCTGTGGAAACATTCCATTTGTCTTTGCCTCTCCGGTAGAGAAGCGACTGCTGAGATCCTGTCTGAACACGTAAGTGTGTACGGTTCCGGAAGAGTCATCATCATGGGAAAGAGACATGTATCAGTATTACCCCAGTCTAGTGAAAAGTCTGTCTCCTACTTCATCCCTGCTTTTGTTTCTCGCCCAAAATATTCCATGAATTCTTCAGATCCTTGCTAAGGAAAGATACGGAGAACGATGGGAAGGCTGCAAAACACATCCTCTGCTTGTAAGCCTAAGGAGCAGAGAAGTGTTACATTAAGAGTTTTTAATTTGCCATATATATGGCCCAGCTCCTCTCTCCTTTAAGGTCTTCTGAGCATATTTTAGTCCATGAAACTAATTTTTAAGGGACTTTTGTGAAATAGATGATCTACACAGATGAGAATATCAAAATTATCACTCAAACAGGTTCTCAAGGTAAAACGTTCCATTCACAAACTCCTTACGCATTCAAAAGACATGTATGAAAAAAAAAAATATTTGATTTTTCAAAAGTGACATTATGCAATTTTAAATACATGCACACAAAAAAATATTCAAAGAAATCTCACTCTTGTATCATGGTTTATTTCTTCCACAGGAGTAAAATAAAGTGATGAAACAAGGCATGACCCGTATGGATTCACTGCTGTTTTAAGAGCTAGAGTCTCTTACCAATTTACAAATAACTTCTTGTATCAGGCCATTATTTACAAGAACTACATCCACTATATGTAAGTACAGTGTTTTCCTTCATTAGATTCACTATCAATTCTTAATTGAAAAGAAAAAACAGACTTGCTTCCTTCTCCAAATATCCTGCCCAGAAAGGATTTCTGGAAGGTGCCCTTGACATTACTGCCAGAGCTCAAGCACAGTTCAGACTCCCGTTGTTCTAACGAAGATACGAAGCAGTCCTACAAAGTATGGTCCTCAAACTGGACATGCATTATCCTCTGGAAAGCACTGGGGTCTCCACGGCAAAGAGGAAGGTGGATCTTTTGAACACAGGTTATCATACAGCTACTTAATTATCAGCTGATAGCTTGTCAGCCATCTCTCAAGTTTTATTCTTTTTTGACAGCTTGCAGGTATCATGACTGATAATTATTCTTAGCATGAGATGGACTCAAATTCAGAAAATATATGAGACGCACTTGTATCTTTCTGTTCAAGATATGCTGACAACTATTTCATGTGTCAATATTTTATATTTTTTAAATTCACAAAATCATATATTCAAAGCAAGACAAAGGACAGCCACTAGAACACCTTGAGCTGCAGCCTCAAACAATAACGTGAACACAGAGCAAAGGTTCTTCATGGCTTAAACGATCCAGATTTGAGAAGGGATTTTCTCCTTAATTGCAACAATATAATTAGTGCTCAAATATTAGTTCTGTATGAATCAAAATAGCAACCTCATCACTTTCAGCAATTAAAATCCCACAAGATTTTTTTTTTACCTGGCTTCAGTAGAGGAGTTTATAGCAGATAGTCTAAGCTTTGATTCTATTTAAAGAGCTAGGTTCTGTTTTTCTTTCTTCTTAGCTTAAATATTTGCATGACCCCCACACAGTAATATTTCAGAACAGAAATAAAAGAAGCCAGGAAATTTGTAGAGGATTATGCCTTTTTGTAATTTGTCCTCTGTTGGCTTTTTATCTCAATACATCACAACTAACAACTCCTTAGCAGTGTCAATTTTGCTGAAAAAGGAAATGATTTATCACTATTAAGCCAACAAGTAATAGATGCTTTATCATTACACAGGTTAAAGAAAAAGTATTATTATTTTCATTCTCAACCATTTTAATCGGTTTCCACTTAACAACCTTAACTGAAGTTCATATGTCAAATGCCAATTTTGAGAAAGAATATTCACACGATTTTAATCTCAGTCTCGTTCATAAAAACAGAAAGAACATAAATTTCTGCAACATGGATGGATATGGCAGACTCCATAGTTAAGAGGGCAGGCACGAAAGACACGACATTACTGTAGCTTTTTTTTTGGCTGTTGTTTTTTTTTTTCCAAAGTGTATCCATTAAGGATAATCAATTCAAGTCATTAATTCTTGGCTTGAAATTACTGCACAGTTGCCAGCTAGTATGTCAGCTATGAAAAGAAAACTTAAATAGCAGTGTATTACTCCAATACGGTAAGATTTTGGAATCATTTATTACATTGTTGAAGACTTGATAAAACAGTAGCCCAAATGAATTAGATGCACGTCTGGTAACAAATCAAAATAGTCTCCTATCTAGAGCAAAATAAAGGAAAAAATTTTAACAGATGGAAATACATATGATAATTTGGGGAGGAGGGATATGAAGAGAAGATAATTTGCCCACAAAGATTAGCTGAGGACATTCAAAGGAAACGGAGGAGGGAAAAAAAAAAAAACAGGCTTTAAACATTTGGAAAAAGCCAATCACCATGCAAAATTTAAAAATACCAAGTAATCTGCAAATGCTCCAAATGTTCTTCCAAACCCTCATCTAGATCAATTTAAAGGAACCGACACACTCAGTTTCACATATTCAGGTCTTCATACAGCTTTTTAAAGCACTATTATAACCAATTACTGCATAAAGAATGAAACCTGGAACAAGAAAGGAGGTAGTAGTAAAAGCAGAGAAACCGATTCTCGTGGGACACTCAGAGACTGCTGAAAACGTAGATCAATGTTGACAATGGCCAATCACAATGTAATTACCTTTACAAAATGTCACAGAAGTCAACATTGTGTCATTTTTTTTTTTAAATCTCACTCAGAAATGTAAGATTATATTTGTATGTTTTAAGTTTCAGATGTTATATTTAGTGATAACATGAACAGTTTATAGTAAAATTTGCATAGCGATTTACTTGTTTTTGTTAAAATGATTAATGGATATGTTTTTATTCTAGATCTTGCATGCAGAACAATCACTTCAAAATGATGTTTTCCAAAAGTTGTATATGAAATGCAAGTTGCTGGCTTTACTTCATGATAAGTGACCACAGCAAGTGAAGATGACTCTTGAAGTGATCACTCTACAATTCCTTTACATAGAAGGAAAAAAATTATTCTGAACCCTCCTCCTCGTGAAATATGCATTATCACAATTAATAGGAAAATATTTAATGATTCATAATGAGAGTTCAAAAGATTTAATAAGAACAGACCCAAATTTTCGAAGGTTTTTTTTTGTTGGCTACTGTGGAGCTCCATTCTTTGTTTGTCTTCCTGTCTTTAAAGATCATTCATTATTTTATTGTACATTTATTAAATAAGGCAGCAACAATCTGATCTATATTAAAAAAAAAGCTTATTAATTTTCCATTCATCTTTATACCTACTGCTGTTTTTTCAATTAATTTTATTAACATAAGCCTCAGCACCTACTGCAGGGCTTTGTCAGTGACATTATATGGTCCTCTTCTCAACTGCTTCTTCATTCATTGGACCTCAATGAATGCAGCAATTGGACCTCAATTGAATGCAATTCATTGGACCTCAACTTCTATTTTGATATTATAAAAATCTTTTTCTTTTAGTGCAACTGGATTAATCAAACTGATGCTCAAGAACAACAGTGGGTCAACAAAGCAGAATTATCTGTCTTCAAGAGAAGAAAGGTGAAAAATAAGTGTTTTTAAAATGCTGAGACACTTGTAAAATAAGCTGGTTGTCTACTCGAGACTATGGAATGACATAAATTAGGGAATAGCCTATTTTAAATCATGTCAACAAGAATTTAGATAGATAACGTTTCACAGTCTAGCTGAATTAGTACAATGTTGTTTTGAATGAGTGTGGCTTCTTAAGTTAAAAGACCTTTTTCCTCTTCATCAGCTAAACAAATAAACAAACAAATAAATAAATAAATCTCCCACTTCATGTTTGCCAGTTGAAAGAAGTTAAAAATTTCTGTAGAAGTCCTGTAAGCAATGATGAGGTCCAGGGATTTTCCAACAAACTTGAGGTCTAGTCCCAGACTGTCCTCAAACTGCACTTTAACACAACTTTAAAAATACTTATTTTTACTTATGTGCTAAATTAAGATTAAAGGAGGCCAAAATAACCCAGAATGATAGTAGTTTTTACAAAGGAAAGCAGGTCCCTCGCATATCTACTGATCTTTAAAATTGCCAACATTAAAACAAACAAAGGATGATCCAGGTAATAGGCTGGAGCAAAGCTTTTAAAGAAAGCAAGCTTGATTAGGATAAGTGTGATCATCCTTAGGTAAGCAGGTAGGTGATGTAGAAGAGGCAAAACTCAAAGGGCAGAAATAAGCACAAGCATGAGAGGTCAGAATATTCACCTTGTTTTGAGTGTTTTTACAGCCTGTGCAGTCTGAGATGTTTGTAAGTAAATCTCAGAGCAGTGCAGAAAGTCTGCTGACAATGTCTGCTGGTACTAAGCTATTCTGGGTAGTAAAGCAAAAGCCAGGTGTGAGGAATTCCAGAGGAACCATGTAACACTTACCACAGAGAGAATGAAATTAAAGATTGAATTCTACACTGAAAAATGTGAAGTGATGCATAAGGAGAAAAAACTGCATACAGAATCATGCTTATGAAATAACAACCATTAAGAAAAACGTCTCAAGGAAAAAATACCTTGAAGTTACAACATGGAATCCCTTGAAAACATCGAGCTCAATGCTCAGTAATCCTAAAGTAATCAGCCCTCACAAAAGGGAATAAGACATGGAACCATCTTCAGGTTTGTCCTCCCTCGTTTCTGAAAAGGGTACAATAGTACTAAGAGAAGATACAGAAAGGATCAACAAGGACAATCCAAGCTATGGACTCAGCTAGAAAAGTAATAGAGGAAGGGAAAGAAAGAATGATAGCTATCTGTAAACTCCTGGGTAAAATAGGGAAGTTCTTACATTTCATGTAAGATATAAGAACCAGGGAACAATAAAGGATCAACTTCAAAAGAAACAGAATTGACATTTCAGAGAACAGTTCATTTTAGTACTCTGGAGGAACCCGCCAAGTTCTGTGCCAAGTATAGCATGCATTCAAGAAATCCTTATACAAATTCATGGAAGTAATACCTAACAAGGACTACAAAGCAAAAGATGTTGCCTCCAGCTCCAACTTCTTGGAGCTGAAGACTGTTTTTATGACCGTGGTACAGAAGTTATTCCCATATGTTTGCTCTCTTCCTACGCTCTTCGCTAAAGATTCACTCTTGGGCAACTGTCAAAGCCAGGGTACTGGCTACATGGACCTCTGATGTGACCTAAAGCAGTTGTACTTGTGCTGGGGACTCTAGTAAAGTAAGCCTGTAATATGCTTTTTTTTTTAATATAATGCTTTACACACCAAAAAGTTTGGAGGTAAGTCCAACTTCCTGAACATAACAGCTATCAAACCCCATGAAACTTGATTTCACAAGAAATGTGGCTTTGTTACTTTCAGTGTTCAAAGGCATTTGCTGTAACTGCAGTTTTATTACACAGTTTTTAGAATTAACAGGTCTAAGACAAACTTTAGATGAGATGAACCTTTAAACCACCTTCATAAGCCTAATATTTAAGCAAGGGATGCTTTGTATACCACAGAGAGAACGGACTATTAACACCATTTAAGCACGCTCCCCAAATCATTATTTTTCTTCCAAAAAGCGGAAGTTTCTCTTTCTGAGGTAAGACAAAACAGCCGTAACTTATGGTATTGGATTATTAACTGGAAAGACTTCAAGTCAGGGAATGATTTAAAATTAAGGTCCACAAGAAGAGATATAACACCGTCATTCACTTGACAATGACGTCTCAAGTGATGTCTCAACATTTATATTTTTCTTCTGAACTGTCAATTAACAATCAAACACAGTAAGTACGTAATAACATCCTTTAGAGATAATCTCTGCAGAAATTACTGTGTTGGCTTTTGAAATAAACTGGAAGCATCTCTAAAATTATCATCATTCATCAGGATCACGAAGCTGTTGTATTGTACTTAATTTTGAAGGAAAAGTAAAAAATTAATAAAGTTTCAAACTCCTCACCAGGTTCTTCAGCAGCGTTGATAATTCTTTAGTAAGCGTGGAAAATTTTACAAAAGCTGTGCCAAGATCTGGATTATCCCGACTTAAAAAATTACTTCCAAATTTATCTAGTACTTGTGCATAGTTTTCTTCATTTTGAACATGATCTGAAAAGAAAAATTAAAAGTCAGAAAGTTTCTTTCTTGTAGACAGTCAATAATTATTTGAAGCTTATGTAGTGCAATAAAGTGACAAACTAACTGACAAACAGTACTTTGAAAAAAGCCACAAGTTAATGTATTTACTGAAAATTACAGCAATTTTAATATTAAAAAGAACTGTTTAGCAACAGACATATATAAGCTTCTTTTACATCAGCAACTTGAATTTGTAATACATCCATGAAAAAAGCTCCGTGGTTATTAATAAAGTAATAAATCAATCGAACAATGTAAGTACATGTGCTCATTTTGTAAACAACGTGGGAATTTATAATTGTCCACTGTAATCACTGTAATGCAAACTTTTTTTTTCAAATTGTAATGTAGGACAACTTTGCAGAACAAATACAGTCAATAGTATCAGATATAAAACTAAGGAGACCAAGTCTGAATCTGACTGCGAGTTTAAAAGAAGAAACACGTCTTACAAAGATTCCCTTTTCACCTGCTTTGTAAAACTGAGCTACCCCATAGAACAGAATGTAGGTTAGGATATAGCCAAAGACTTGTGGCAACCTATTTAACTGCAAACTGGACACACAGAGAGGTCAGAACCAAGAGGGTGAAATTGAAGCCAGTGAAAGAGAGCAAAATCCTTAATTCAAGGACAAAGGAAATTCTGTTTTACAGACCATTGTGCCTGAAATGTTTTTCCTGCTTCTATTCTTTCCTTTCTGGCATCTGTTTACGTATTTTTTGTTACTTCCATTTTAGAATCTTTAAATAGGAAATTTGCCACCACAGCCCTTTGGGACACATTTTATTACCTCCATCTCTCTTAGAGAAATATTGCTGGTATTAATTAAATCAAAGTTTCACTTTAATGGGCTTCCTAGTCTTACTATGTTTCTTCCTGTTAGCCACAAACACAAAACCACAGAGCAATTCCAGCTAGAACAAGCTCCCTACAATAAAAGGGGGAGGAAAAGAGAGAATAGTTGTCAATAGGTACCATTTTTTTCCCCAAAATACTTGTAAGCTTTATATTCTTCAAATTGTCATATCGCCTGAGACTATTTGAATTACATGAGGGGACAAAAAAAAAACGAAAAGAAGAAGAAGAAAAAAGTAAGTTTCAAATGTGGATAATGTCCCACAATCCATGAATGTACTTTGATGAAGAGTCAAACAGTAATACTTCTAAGGTATTAACAGTACTCAAAAGAACAGTGCACTGAAGCACCAACAAACAAAAGTGAAAAACTATTAGAAGACAATGAATAAATGAATAAATAACTAATAATGTTTATTTACCAAAAACAAATCCCAAATGCCACATATCAGACAAATTACTTTCTAAAATTAGACATTAACACTGACATTTTCAAAATTCCAAATATGAAATCACTTGTTAATATCGAGTTGTAACTCAAACAGTATGTTTTTAATAGAACTGGTGCAAAAGCATGTGGTTTTAATCAAACTGCTTAGCATTACAACCAAGGAAACCACTATCTAATAATAAAATGTGAATTTTGTTTTGATGTAAAAGTTGTTGCATAAATATACATAGAAGCCTTTATCTAAGAAGGAGCTTTGGCTTATGCAGTCCTGAGCTAATAAAGCTCAAGTGTACTCTACTGTGCTGAAGGAAAAGGAAGGATAATGGAACAAGGTCAGACAGAAATCTGCTAGATCATGGAACCCCTGTGTAGCTCTTCTAACCCCACCATATTTCCTAGCATTTTGATTTAAAGTGCTTTGTTGTTTCATAGAGCATTTTCAAAAATAATTTTGTAAAGAGACTGAAAGAACACTCTAAGAAGAGAGTTTCCTTTATCTGTCAAAAGGCAAAAAAAAATTCCTGGTCAGAAAGAGGAAGCAGGTCATTGTCCTAAAACAATATATAGGAAATTCTCAAGAATCTCAAGAATCTCAGATCACAAATCACCTAACTGTAGACATGAGGCTTTGATTATAATGTAATAGGAAAACTTCTGTAATTACCACACATATAGATAAAAAATTCAAGAATTGTGTAAGAATAATAAATTTTCAATTTTTACGCAAGTATCAACGTAAGTCTTGTAAAAGGAGAAGAAACATTCTCTACTGCAGAGGTAAGGGAGTTCCCTACCTAACCTTAAAGGCACATAGATGAAAAATTACATCTACCGTGCAGCCTACGCTAAAATGCACCACATGAAAACCGACACGCTCAGAGCAAAGAACATGCTTTAATCTCCCTGTAGATGCCTCATGCAAACAGAGAAACTACTTCCCAGTGTCTTAATAAAATTTCCTTGGTATAAAGAAAGCTGTAAGTGCATGACTTGATGTTTACTTCCTTAGATACCAGGCCTGAAGGAAGGACTTTAATAACCCTAGAGAGATACGAACACTGACAGCAGTACATACACAGGATAATGTTTGCCTTCTAGAGCTGACCCATGCCTTCTCAACATCATAAACAAAGCTCAGTACTGTGATGAAAATAGAACAGCTTTCCCAGAAAGACATCCTCCTCCTTCAGCAGCTCCCCGAGAGGTGCCAGAATCATGGGCATTTGAGGATGGGCTCTGCTCCCATTGACACAGGCAGTTCCTTTCCAAGGGGCTATGAGCAGGAAAAGGGGCCTCACGAATCATCCCCTCCTCAAAGGGATCTGGCAAGGCAGCCAGTACCTGAGCCCATGTTGAGAACCTCACTCTAGAACAGCACATGTAGTATGAAGCACCACACTGGACTGGACACAGCAGCATTATCAGAAACATGATTGTTATCTACCCTTCCAACCGAAATATTCTGTCCTATTCTAACTCTGAGAAACACTCAGCACAGAATTTGCCTTTGTTCTTCAGAAAACCCTGGTGGGGCTTACTGAGCAGCAATGTTGCAGCAACACTCACTTCTGTGCTATAATTCATGCATTGAGGATTACGTGTTAAGAGGAGGAAATAATACAAATGCATCTGAAGACACAAATCCAAGCAACTGAGGAAGGAATGACAGCCACAGCAGGTGACAGCAGCCTTTTGCTACACAGCACTACTCACCAGAAGCAGGGAGCACCCTTGCTCTGAGCCTCAAGCACTGCAGTGGCTCGGACTCAAGAACTCCCAGGGTTGAATCCCACCTTGTTCTGCCTGCCCAGGCAGTCACCTGAAGTTGTCTATGCCTAAAGTGACCTTGTGGTAAACTTTTCTCAAGAAAAAGACAGAAAATTCCCAAGGCATAAAGAATCTGTACTCTTTCATTGAAACCCGTAACATTTCATAGAATCATAGAATGGTTAGGGCTGGAAGGGACCTTCAAAGGGCATCTAGTCCAACCCCCCTGCAAAGAACAGGGATATCTCCAACTAGATCAGGTTGCTCAGGGCCTCATCCAACCGGGCCTTGAACGTCTCCAGGGATGGAGCATCCACCACCTCTCTGGGCAACCTGTTCCAGTGTTCTACAACTCTCATGGTAAAAAATTTTTTCCTAATATCCAACCTGAATCTACCTCCCTCTATTTTAAAACCATTACCCCTTGTCCTATCACAACAGGTTAGTTGTTAGTACTATGTTTATTTTCCATTCAAAAGTTCCCAGAATTTTAGCATATGCTTCTGAACCCAGTGAAATTCATGTCTACTTGTGTGCATTAAGTAAGGAAACTGAAAAATAAATACAGTGAAGAGAAGTTAAAGAACAGCCTTTATATACCAGAGGTAGAAAACACATCACTAAAACTAAAGCCTTAACTTTCCTTTCTCTATAATAGTTTTGTTCAGATGCATCAACCTGCAAACACTGAAGAACAAGAAAAAGAGTTAAACAGTTTACGGAAGAAAAATACGCCAATACAGCTCTTCCCTGCCACTGATGATACTCAAATCATGCCCAGAGAAACCTGAAGAACATCTAAATTGCTGAGAATTACTTCTGCATATCTGGTTAAGTACAAAAAAGAAGAATCATGATTTAGAATCCTGATCAAATTGAAACTATTTTTATGTTGCCCTTATGAAATGGCTTTGTTCCACGGGTAGCCAGAGGAAAAATAACCAAGGTCAGAGCCAAGCTGCATTTATGAATGGAAAAACACACACATGAAAAGAGACTCAGAAAGACTTTAGAAAAAGCAAGAAAGCTGGCAAGGTTAAAAAGGATGGCAAAAGAAATTATTTGAAATAAGAAAGCATCCTTTCTCATTTCATACTTCACAGAGCTGAAATCTAATATAGGAAAGAAAAAAATATTTGACCACCATATTCTTATCTGGACTTGATAACAATAATGCCTTCTGGACTGAGACTGCTGAAAGGAAAAGTAATAAAAGTCTCTTTCAAAGATTTCCAGAGCAAGGAGCACCTCAGTGAGTCTGCAAGGCTCTCCAGATCACCATGGTATAAAAGCACAGAGATACGCCAGCCCTGGAAGGGAAATGACTTATTTTTCAATCTGTGTTCATTGCTGACATGCTTGAGGAAGTCCTCATGGAAGAATTTTCTTTCAACTCTGCTTCAGAGAATTTATACCAAATCTAAGTGCTCACAGTAGAATTCATAAAAGCTGACAAAATGAGCAATGACAAGTCACTCAAACCCAGATACAGAAGAATAAAATAGGCAAACGATATAGTTGTAAAGTCAAGTCTCTTATTTATAATAGCCTCAATATTACAGGAAGAATGAGAAGTAAATATAATAGCTATTTTTAATAAGAGCTCCAGAGAGAACTGAGAATTCAGGTATGCACCAGCAGAGCAGTAATGCCGATATATTCCTCAGGCAAATTTGTAGAAACTACAGTGCAAAACAGAACTGGTGGATCAGTGAATAAACACAAAATGCTGAACAAGAAACACAGGTTTTATAAAAAGAAATTTTTTACTTCACAAAAGTCCCTGTACCCCCAGGTCATCAACAAGCATGTGGGAAGAGGAAATCCACATTAAATTATCTGTGTGGACTTCTGAAAAGATCTGTCCCTCACCAAAACACTAAAAGAAACTAAGCAAACAAAGGATAACAGGGACAAGCCTCACACACAGGGAAAACAGGTCAAAAAGATGAGGTGGGGGAAAGGAAGGAATAGAGTTAATTTTCTCAACAGAGGGAGGTCACCAGTGAAGTCCTGTATGGAACAGCGGTAAGGATCACATCATTTAACAACATCTGAGTTAGAAAATAAGATTCTTAGGGATAAACTCTGTTCTTCTTTTCCATACAATACTATAAATTAGTCAGGGCAATAGAAACAAATGCTCACTCCAAAGGTGATATCAATCTGTCCAAACACAGACTTCCACAACAAAGATATCCATATTGGAGCCTGGGGTCTACCGTTCCCCTTACATTCAGCACAGGAAACTTTACAGTTCAGCTCATCCTAATCTAACGGCACAGGAAGTTGGATATACCTCACCCTAGAAGTCTCTATGTACATCCATTAATTGTGCACAGAGTCTACGGCAACAGGCTCACATCTGGGTAGCTCCCAAGTTAGATGAGGAATCCCCTGCCAAACGGTCAATGTATGAAAGGGGGCACTAGGCAGCATAACACAAGGGAAAACACGACTCACTTTCAGAAATTATTGTGTAACTAGACATTATAAAGAAAGGTTCTGAAATTATATCTCAACATTCGGTACCAAGCAAAACAAAGCTGAATAGCAGAAATTATTAAGAAACAGAGCGTGCGACAGAGCAACACAAAAACGTTGGCATAGCGTGCTTAAACCCTTAATATCGTGCGCTGTTCCTGTCACTGTTACCTTAAACTCACTCCTCTTCCTTGTTTTAAAAAAGAAAGCCTATGTTGCCATTTTGGAGAAAGGATGATTAAATGTATGGGACAGTTTCCGTAAAAAACAACAAAAACACACCCACAAAAACCCATAGGGCTGCTGAGTCCAGAAGGGGGATATTTTGGGTGACTGAGGAAGAAACTCAATCCATAAACCTATTTCAACAGGTAGAATGGATGATACTGAATCAAATTTGGATTCATCCACCAAAAAGTCCTTCAACACCACTGCAGCAAGCTTCAGGATTTCAAAGTCCCCTACAAACTCTCATGCCCCAGAATACACAAAACTCCCTCAATTTCACATCAAATGAGTCATGCTGGTGGGTTTGAGGCCAACGCTTTGAGACACGGACAGGGCCAGTCTGCTCCTCAGGAGACGCGAGGCCTGAAGAGCATGCATGGAACAACATCACAAGGGAGGAAGGGTACATTTAACTAGACTGGTGCAAGACTACGCATGATGAAGATTTACATGAATTTAAATTCCTTAGACAAAATTAATTGTAAAAGTCCGTGAAGAAGCATCACAACATCAGTCCTGACTCAGGAATAAGAATGCCCGGCTTTTATATCATTGTGAGCTGAGAAAGTGTTAAAAAGCAACCAAACAAACCAACCAAAAGAAACCTCCAAAACCACCCATCACTTCATCTTTGCACCGTTTTTCTATTTCCTCAAGCATCTGATGTTGATCTTTGGGGGAAACCATGTGCGCTGCTGGTCCAACTCGGTACCTTTGGTCTTGCACGGATTTTATGTTTTTATTTCTCCACTGTGTGAATTCTTTTGACTATACTTGGGATTCATACCAGGGAATTAATGAAAAAGAGCTATTGAAAAATTTACAACAAAACTAATTGTGCAATCTACTGCTCTTACAATTCAATCCAAATGTTATGGGGAAGCGAGTCAGAACAGATTCTCCATTAAGTTCAAGCACCAATCACGTAAGATGGGTTAATCTTAGTTACCGATGCAATCTATCATGCCAGAAATAAAAATGCAAGCCAGATAAGGAGGAAGTGTTGTCAGCCACTGGAATAGGCTGCCCAGGGAAGTGGTTGAGTCCCCATCCCTGGATGTGTTTAAGAATAGGGTGGATGAGCTACTTGAGGATAAGTGGTCAGAAAGAGGTATCAACTTATGTCTCACTGGATTTCATAAACAGTACTTTCCCAAACAGTACTTCCAGACCGTGAAAAAGGAACAGGATCTTTCCAAGTGATCTCCACATTTCTGTGCCAGTATGTTTTTGTTTCCATAGCAGTGGATCTAAACCTAGGCACCACACACGGGTGAGGGATGTGCACACAAAAGCAAAAAAAGTATTTGGGTGACATTTAAGCTCTCTTCGCATCAGGAGAGAGTCCCTCGTGGTTCATAATTCAGCAATGAAGAGGAACAAACCAACATACCAGAGGGCTAGATTTTTCTGAAGAATTTTGCATGAGACATTGCACTGCATGAATGTCCCTGTTCAAATGTTACTTCAGGCAAAAAACAAAACAAAACAAAATCCCCGACGCAACCCAAAAAATGCTAGCTATGACTTTTGGTAGCATATGAATTGGATTACTGAACTAAAGAGAGAAGAATTTCTTTTGCCCCTGAATAATCATTTCTCACCAGTCCAGCTAGAGCTCTCAAAGGAGATTATGAAGTTGGGGAGTTTAAAAAAAACATTTCCTACTCCAGTAGTTTAAATATGGTCTCACCTTCTAGCAAACAAACAAATTTGTAAAACAAAAAATTTCAATTTTGAGCTTTCAAAATGTAGTTAGAGGCTTCTTTTGAAATATGAAAATAGTCACCTAACTCTTGCTTGAGCTGATAAATGACAACGTATTTTATAGCTGGTTTTTCACTAAGTTAAATGTCAAAGAAACCCACTGTCATCACTGAAGCATAAGAAACTAGCTGGCTTAGCAATTCTCTTTTTACAAGCAGGCAAAATGAGTTTTAATTCAGTGACTTTATTATTATATTTATTTTTACAAGGCTTCACATGTATAACACATGCTTTAAGTCTTGCTCTTACTAATCCTACTTCACGTTTATCAATTACTGCATAAATTGCCTCCTGTGCACACCTTTTCAAATTCTAAGGTAGCCTATCACAACGGCACTCTGAAGAGGGAGCTAGAGTATCATCTATAGTGCTTTCTTTGTCCAAAAGAACTCATACTAACTTGCATCTTTGAAACAAAACTTGATCAAAAAAAAAAAAAAGAAAAAGAGAAACTGCTACCTCTAGTGCAGAGGCAGCCAATTAAAACCATTAACCAACCTTCTGTTGCTTTTATTCATTGCAACTCGTTCATGATGTAGTCTGGTCTACTTACAGGCACTGAAAACAGTGTTACTTTTACTATGAAACTCAAATCAAATGATGGCTAAAATCTCTAGGATCATTTATATATTTCAAAACAGGCAGAACACATTTCATGCGTTCTACAATTTTCATCAGTTTTGAAATTCAGTAAGTAGGTACTTCCAAATGGAAAAGCTGCTTGGAGCATATGAATATTTTTAAAAGCAAAAACCAAATACACGTGTACCAAATACTATTCCCACTTTGTATCAGGCTTCACAGTCTATTGGGAAAACATTCATCATCAACTGAAGTTACAGAAAGGCTAATTAAAACATGGTGCTAGCAGAGCAACAGTATTCATCATTGGCAGAAGAGAAAAGTTAAGAATCTACAATATATTAAAAACCCACACGCTTCCATAAACACCAGTTAATGGGACAGCACACAAAACAACATGGAAACTAAGAGCACTCGGGAGCAGCTCTGCATAAGGAAAATACTTGCTAAACTGATTATTACTGCTAGGGAAAAGGAACTGGGCTTTTCTGAAATCCAGTCTTTACAATCATATGTTTACTGGAAGGTGTCCAGCTCTGCTACTTTATCTGCCTTTGGCACAGGTTTTAGACCTTAGGAGCAACAGAGGTAGAAGCCAGGTTTACTTCACGAGATTTTAAAAACCTAACTTGTACATTGATCTGTGTTTGACCATCATTTGTTACTGAACTCAGACTGTTCACCAATAAATATTCCAGCCAACTATCCTCTCATCAAAGTTATTACTATAGCTCCAATAAAACATCAACAGTGTCTTCAAACAAGTCAAATAATGACAAATCTCCACTGTTTTATCTAAGAAGGGAGATACGTCATTTTTATTGTATAAGTCATGAGAGGAGACTCAAGTGTTGAAGGAACAGACACATGTATCTGTAGATAGTTCTAATTATTTTTAAAACAAGTTTTCATTCTTATTTCCCTTAGAAGTGCACTCCATGAAGAGGACACTGCCTAGATTGAATAGCTGAAGGTAACTGCCTGAAATGTTACGACAGCAGGAAATTTTACCCACGGGAAGTCTCCTAGAGGCCTTTAAGAAGGAACTTCAGGGTGAAAGAATTGTAGAATGCATTAATCTGATGTATAATCAGAAGCAAAAGAAAGAAATCTTAAATTCAAACACTCCTAACAGATGAGCATCTCTGTGGTATACACTTCAACAGGATAAATTGCAAGACACTTCTAAAACCTAAAATTCTTCACTCTGAGGGTGGTGAGGCACTGGACCAGGTTGCCCAGAGGAGCTGTGGATCCCCCATCCCTGGAAGTGTTCAAGGTCAAGTTGGATGAGGCTTTGGGCAACCTGGTGTAGTGGAGGGTTTCCCTGCCCATGGCAGAAGGGTTGGAACTAGATGACCTTTAAGGTCCCTTCCAACCCAAACCATTCTATGATTCTACGAAACCAAGTGCTTAGGTTCCAGTATAAAACTTAAAACAATGTCTTACCTTGCCCCGAATTATATATTGCTTTCACAGATTTTTTGACCTTCTGTAGTGCAGTTCTGTCTTGATCCAATGCCTACAATAACAATAAATAAACCAATTTTACATATTTAGTTAATTGATCAACTGAATACACTGTAACATTAAAAATAAACCCAATGAAAGAAGCAGTTTCACAGGCTGGAAAAAACTGCAGATACAACATATTCAGTCCGCAGGAAGGTCTGAGATCATTCAACTCTTTCAAGACAAATTAAAGAACTGAACTGAAAACACTCAGAAAGCAGAGTAGAGCGGCAGTGACAGTGATAAAAGTAAAACACTATTTCAGTTTTGCAAGGAACAAAGCATTTATTCAAATTGCAATATATTTGGAAAAAAAAATAAGAAATAGTTAGTAGATATTTCTCATACAGCCCTGTAGTTTCTACTACAACTAAATTGCTTGTTAACTTCTATGGTTTTCCCACAGTAATAGTCTTCCAACTATAGACACAGATTATCACAATAATCTCTTGCCCCAAACTCCACAACAGAATTTTATAAAAAAACAGATGAAAAGTAGCAAATTAAAAGGACTAAGATCTGATTTTGTGCAACATAATGTTACCAAAAGGAAGTATTTATAGTAATAATACTCAAAGATGCGTTTTCAAGATTTCATCATTCTGAATATCAAATTTTCTGCAATAGTTTCAAAATCCAAAAGAAAATGTTAGTAAGTAATGATGAATTTAGGATTATATTTCTAGGTATTTCCTTTTCTAAACAATGTAACTTCTCCCTACCCACTGGTAATCTGATGTACAAAATCAAATTAACATGAGAAAGAAATATTATGATACAGCAAAAAATAAAATCGAACTAAACATTAGTCTAGACTTGTGAAATTAAGAACCTTAAAAGTCATGTACTGGCATTGTGTGCAGTGATCCAGTTAATTTTGCTTAAGGGAGAGTTTTGGATAATCTGCATACTTAACATGTTGTACATGGTTCCCTGCGATTCATGGAGAACACAAAGAAATGTTTAAATAATTTCCTGTATTTTTTCCTCCTTTAGATCCTAGGCAATTTCCCATCACATAAGTATAGTCAGATTAATAATCTCAATTTTTAATGAAACTGGCAGCATTTGCCATGTTATATTCACATTCAAATCACTGAACTCAGAATCCCTGTCAGGAGAGCAGCCCAACTGAGCCTGTTAGCTGTTACAGACCAGTAAGTTTATCTTGCAGAGACTCTTTGGTAGCCATATGATCCAAACAGCTTAAAGCCTGGAGTTCCTGTGGGTCTGACACCTGAAGACTGGCAGAGCAAGGCAGAACAGCAGCTACTCCTCCAGCAGGGCGTACCTCATCAGACAGGGTCATCACCAGCAATGCTACGAGTGAACACTTAACCAACAAGCAGAGTTTTTGCTGTCGAAGCTGGGATGATTAATGTATCTTGCACTGGGCGTTAAGAAGCTCCAAAAAAGCCTCACACACAGCAGGAGCTCCAGGTCAACTAGAGTGTTAAACCCCAGAGATGGTCGTAACAGAGGATATTGCTCCCAGGTAAGTTGAAAACGCTGAGTGCTTCAGTGTATGCATGCTTACAGTAGGAACCCATACAGAGCGAAAACAATTTATATTTCTATAAAGAAATAGAATTTTCTATAAAGAAATAGTTCTACGTGGAGTGGCCCGATTTTAAGCAAGCAAAATACTATAGTGGAACAATACATAAAAGTCTGTAATAAAAGAAAACATAGTTTTTCTGTTCTTTAACTGAAAAACACCATATTCTTAAATTATACAACCACTTCTGTGGTAGATAAAACTATAAAGTTCGGAACGGCAGAATTTATATAAGTGCTTCCTAATACTATTTATCTCTAGTTTTTCATTTGCAGCAGAACAATGGATTGAAATATTCAGAACTGCAAATATCACTATTTCTTTTGCTCCCCAATAAAACAGTGGATTTTACTTCACTTTCATCTTGACAGAGTTAAAATTTTTAAATTTAATAAAACATTAAGAACACTGTGTTCCTTTTCAAGACAGTGCACAGCAGGTGATTGTCCTGAGATTCCTTTGCAAACGCTGCCAAAAGCTTTTGCTTCTGCCTGGATGCTATGCCAGACAGTTAGCATACATTTCTACTGAAGTTCTCTCCATCTTCAATGACAGAAAGAAAAAAATGATTCACTTGTCTATTGAGAGTTTGAATGCAGGACAGTATAAGAATTTGAAACCAGTATTTTGGAAAAAAGACAATGGTTAAAACCATTGATGAGATTCAGAGATAAAACTTTGAACTAAACTCTGATATTGAAGCAAACTGGACAATCAAGAGGAGAAAACAAATACAAAAACTCCAAGAAAGATGGTACTAGTTCCTAAAAATATCAATCTAGACGACTAGGATAAATAGACCAAAAAAAAATAATCTTCCAAATTGGATTTGATAGAGAATTAAATTTCATCACTAATATGGGAGCAGGATGGAAGGGAACATTCGTTATTTTAAGAGAGCAATCACTGAGCAAAGCAATATACAGAGATGACATCCACTGCCTGAAGGAGCCAGTGATCTAAGTCGGGATGACATCACAGGTCAATTTTGTATTTTTACATTTGCAAATACGATCTTTACGTGAACTAGTTCTTCTTAGTCCCAAACTCCCTAAGTAAAACAAATCCACGCACAGTTATAACTGCATACCAGGGCAGAGTGTAAAATGCCTACTGCAGCA